TCATTGCTGACCTTCCTTGCATGCTAAGAATACAGCTTTCTTAACCATAATTAAAGTTTTCTTGGCCCCTGGCTTCAACTGTTAGGTTATTTGGCATTTTGACAGCTGGCATATTAAAAATTAGCCTGAGCTAGGCAGGAGACATACATCTGAAATTTCAGCACTTAGGAAATCAAAGTAGAAGAACTGGAATTAAAGCCAGCCTGGATTACAGAGCAAGACTCTGTCTCTAACAACCAAAGAAAAGTTTAAAGAATGAGAATCACTTTGAAAATTCTCTTTCTACTTTTCCTTTTGTCAAGCACTGCTATCAAGGTTGTGTTTGCCTCACAAAAGATGAACTTCTAAATTTTCTATCTTTATGTATTAGAAAAGATATCATTTGGGAAGTAACTGTTTCTTTAACAATTTGATGAAATTGAGTCTAGGTTTGATAGTCTGTCTGGGTTTTCCAGATGTGGTAGTACAAGCCTGTAATACCAACACTCAGGAGGCAGAGACAGGAGAATTGCTTTAAGTTAAAAGCCCAATCAGATTACACGGGTGAGTTCAGGTCCAGCCTGAACTACATAGCAAGAACCTGTCACAAAAAATAGAAAAAACAAACTATCCAGGTTTGAAACCTTTACTGAACTAACTTTTTAATTTCTTCTATAGTTAAGGATCTACTCAAGATTTTTACTTGAGACAATTTTATCATACATTTTAAAAAATGACCCATATTATTTATTTTTCAAATTTAAGACAAACCATTCTCATAATTTTGAAAATCTCCAAAATTTAACTTATGTTGTCCTTATTTCTGTATGGTTCATCTTTTTTTCTTTCCTCCTCTGTCTCCCTTTTTGTGGTACTGGAGATACAAACCCAGACTTTTGCCAGGAAAGCATTCTATCACTGTACAATAACCCCAGCTACTCTTTTCTCATTATTATATCAGTTTTATCTGTTCTGTTGGTCTTCCTAAATAGTTAGTTTTTGGTTTTAACAAAAATTGATCAGGTTATACTTCCTATTTTATTAAATTCAGCTTTTACTGATTAATTTCTTCCCTTTGCTTATTGTGGACTTGTCATTATTCTTGAATGCCCATTTTTTATTTTTGTTTTTATAATAATCAATGGCCATATATTTTCTTTCTCTTTATATACTTTTTTTGTATGCATTACATGGCTATTTTTGACATTTCCCAAGTTTCATTCTGATCAACTCCTGAGTTGAGAAGTTAATTAATTAATTGTCTTTTTCACACAGGGTCTCACTATGCAGTTCAGTGTGGTCTTGAGCTTACTTTGTAGTCCAGGCTGGTCTTGAATTCACAATGATCCTCCTGCCTCAGCCACCCAGAGTGCTGAGATTACAGGAATACATCACCACACCCTGCTTGAGATGTCTATTTTGGAAGTCTAAAAGGATAGATTTCTCCTAGCTCTCCTTTTGTTATTAACTTTATTTTTATTGCATTATGGCCAGCAAACAAGGCTTATATAGTTTGTGATTTGGGGAATTTGATATCTTCTTTGCAGCCTGACATATATACAATGGGAATATAATTGGTATGTCTGATTATCAGAGGTTACATGCATGACTGTCTCATGGGGGGATGGGGGGCTTGTACCACTGGTGACACAAACAGATCTAATCATTTTTATCAGTAGCACATTCCTGTAATCCCAGCACTCAGGAGACTAAGGCAGAAGGATCACCATAAGCTCGAGGCCAGACTGGGCCACATATTGAGTGCATGGCCAGCCAGAACTGCAAAACAAGACTGTTACAAAACAAAACACAGAGTTTTGTGTGATACAAGAATCTGGGTTCTCACTATGGAAACAAAGACAAGAAAAACAAGAAAATCTTGTGGAGATAAGATGAAATTAAAAGTATTGCTATAGTCTGATTTCTAAAGTGTGTGTGTGTGTATTATCAGTGGCTTTTAACTAAGGATATTGGCAATATCTGGAGACATTTTGGTTGTTGTAATTATTGGGTAGAAGCCAAATACACTGCTAAACAACCAACAGTGTACAAGACATCCCCCACAAGAAAAAATTATTGGATGCAACACTGAAAAAACTTCAGTACAGGTCTGTACCAGGATGTGTGCACATGTGTTTATATGTACATGTATTTCCCAGTTGTTTACTTAACGGGCCTAGAAGCAAAGCCATCCCAGTAATAATACTTATACATACCTTATGCCTATATTTTGATCTCTTAGTCATTCCCCACTATGAGGAACCAAGGTTTGTTAAAGAAATGCCTGATTCCAGAGTTAAGGCAAGACAGGGATACAGTAATTTTGGAATACCTTGTTATATTAGGAAGTTACAAAGTTCTCCCCGAAAATGATAGGAGTATACAAGACAGCCAACTGAAGGTAAATATATAGGCCAGGTATGGGATAACCCAAGTACAAAAACAGTAACAACAGCAATGAATGATAAATTGAATATATAAGAACTCATAGGGGCTGGGGATTTAGCTCAGCGGCATAAGGGCCTGCCTTGCAAGCAGGCAATCGTGAGTTCGATCCCTGGTACTGATAAAAACGAAAAAGACCAAAAAAAAAGAACTCACAAGGTCATACCAACAATGAAAAGGCTTCTATTTAAAGAAAAGAGAGAAAAAGGTTCTTTGCTTCTAGTAAAATCTTGAGAACTAACTGATAAATGTGGAATGAGTGATGGTGTTAGAAAATCATCACTTCAAAACCACTGTAGGAGTGAATGATTCAAGCAAGAATTGTCAATGGATGGTAACTTCGAGGTAATGGAAAATGACAATGTGTACACGACCTTAAGATAGTCTCCCCACTTACACAAAACATGAACCTAACTATAAAGAAATAATGGGCAAATCCAAAATGAGGAACATCCATTAAAGCACACGCACATGCACACACAAAACTACCAACATCATAAAAAACAAAGGCAGGCTAGGGGAATGTTCCAGGTTAAATGAGACTGAAGAGACAGAAAATTAGCAGAGCAGAGTGGCTCAAGTCTGTAATCCCAGCATTCTGGAAGACGAAGGAAGGCGATCACAAGCACAACAGCAATTTAGCAACACATCAAAACCCTGTCTCAAAACATAAAAAAGGGGCTGGGGATGTAGCTCAATGTGAAAATCCTGGGTTCAATTTCCAGTACTGCAAATAAAACAAAAAGAAAAAGAAAAAAGGTGAGAGAGACAGAAAGGGATATGAAATGACTACTAAATGCAACCCCTAATCCAAGACTGAATTGTGTACTAGAGGAGGAAAAACACTATGAAGGACATTATGGGTTAACTGACAAAATTGGAACATTGACAGGTAAAATAAATAAAAGCAGCCATCAACATTAAATTTATCAAAATTGATAACCACACTGTGTTCTATAAAGAATGCTCTATTCTTAAGACCTGAATACTAAAGGGGGATTTGTTATATATATAATGCACTCTTAATTTAGGAAAAATAACTATGTATACACACTACATACAAGCCTTACAGAGTGCATATGACAAAGCAAATAATACAAAATGTTAACAAGAAATTGATAAACAAGAAATACTGTATTGTATGATTGTCACTGTACAAAAGAAAGGAAAAGAAAGTGCTCTAAAGAATATAACTGCATATATATTTAAGTGTGTAAGATAGATAACCATATTACTGAGTTTTGTTGGATCATTGAACAAAACCATTTCCAGTCTCACTGTTTGAAAGTCCACTTTATATGCTTTAATTTTGGAACTTGAACAACTATTTATAAGATAACAATATGTAATCTATTAACCAATGATTTCCTATTGTTTATTTTTTCCGAAATTCTGTATAACTTGTACCCTATTTCTGTTTTTTTTTTCTCCATAATAAAAAAAAAAAGAAATACTGTATGTATAATCTTGTCATTTTTAAAATATTTTCAATTTTTTTAAAACTACAGAAAATACTTTTAGTTATTGGTTTGTTTTTGTTTTGCCTTTTTTTTTTTGAAGACAGGGTAGCACAGGTTGGCCTCAAACTCACAGCAATTCCCCTGTCTCTGCCTCTCAAGTGCTGCAATTACAGGCATACACCACCGTGCCCAGCTTTCCTGTAGTCCCGGCACTGGCGAGGCTGAGGCAGCAGGATCACTGCAAGGTCAACATAGACTACATATCAATACTCCGCCTCAAAAAAACCAAAACAAACAAACGATAAGTAAAAATAACAAACATTAAAAATCCACAAGAAGACATTAAGTTTTCTGCTCTGTGTTGTTCACCACAAAAAATACTATAGCATATGGGATACCACACAAAAGCAGTGGTCAAATTATCACATCTCTCATTAATGCATTTGCCTTATCTAACATATTAATACCTCATAAAAGTTCAAATGCTATAATAGCCACTGGATAATACAAGACAACCTACCAAGGCAAAGGCAAAGTGTTAGCAGTAACAATAAAAACAAGGCTTCCAAGTTTCTAAAACACAGATTCCAGACAAAATGAAGTATTTATCTTCCTATTAAACATAATATATTTAAAAGATAAAGAGAATAAAACTTATCAATTTACTTTAAACTTATACGTGATAAAGTTAAAAGGATATATACTGCTATGTCAAAATAAGCTGAGCATGGTGGTACTATACCTATACTCTCAGCACTCAGAAAGCTGGGGCAAGAAAATAGTGACTTTGATGCCAGCCTGGACTATACAGTATGACCCTGTCTCAAACTCCTCCCCAAAATAGAAAAACAAAGATTTAGTTTTAAAATCAAAACAAACTGCCTAAACCAACATGTGAACAGTGGCAAAAAATAGTTTTAATATTAGAAGAGATCTCCCAAAGGTATGTTTTACTACTTTGTCTCTTATGAAAGAATTTTTTGGGCTAGAGATATAGCTGAGAAGCACAGTGTCTGCCTGCAAGCACAAGGTCCTGAGTGCAATTCCTGGTACCAAAGAAGGAAAAAAGCTACATTGAGAGGATTATTTTCTACAGCATAAAACAGAGAAACTTACAGTTCATCTCGTTGTCTCTGGGACAGCACCATTTTGGCTGAAATGTCAAGCTTATCTGATAGAGTGGTATGTCCCTCCTTCAGGAAATCAAAAGGTTTTCCAATCCTTGGATTTATAATTAAATATGCCACGAAGTGGCTTCCACACAGGAGAAAATGATTCTTTTACAAATGAATCCAACCAATAACAAGGAGATCAACACGTTTGGTTCATTCCACCTAAGAAGAAAAGAAGAGAAAATAAGATGTTTTCAACTCAAAATTCAAATTTTCAAATTTTTAATTATAGAGCATATTTTAAAGGAAATTTACTGTAATGCTAACATGAATATTAGACATTTTCAATCAGTAAGTCAACTATTGTCAAAATATGTAGCTTTTCAAATATTTTAAGTTACCTTTAATGAGACCAAATAGCACTTCCTTAAAATTTAACATAAAAGTACTCCTAACCATGTTACCTATTACATACATTAATTTCAAAATATTAACCTATAATTAGCCTGGGGATATTGATCAGTGGTGGAGTACTTGCCTAGCATGCATGAGGGCCTGGGTTCAATCCCCAGTGCCACAAAAACAGGACAAAAAAACATGTAACTACTCAGGAAGACTAAAATTCTCTCTTAAAGCCAAATGCCACAAAAACAGGACAAAAAAACATGTAACTACTCAGGAAGACTAAAATTCTCTCTTAAAGCCAAAAACTAAAACATATAATTTACAAAAAGGTATAAAAACTATGATACAGCCAGTCTTGATTGAAGTAACCTTCAAGATTGACTGTAACCACCTTAGAATAGCTGGTATTTATAACATAAATAAACTTCTCAGCCATCTCATATTCTCTTTATGAATGCATTTAAGAAACTGGTTTAATGTAATTTCAATGTACTTTGTGCCCCTCAGAAACATATATTTTATTTATTTTTTTTTAAGTAACAATCGTTTATTTATTGTCTGCCCAGCAAATCCTGGCAGTAACTATGGCGGATTGTGGCTGATGAACTGGGAGCAGGGGAAAGCAAACTGGAGCTAGGAGCATTTCTTGCTGCTCTTCCAGAATCCCCTTTGGCCACCCTCTCTTTCCTATTGGGTGCCAGTGCAGAGGCTTCAGCTCCCATACCATCTGCCTTCTAGGGCTTGAATCTGCAATACTTTTCTGAGGATCTCAAACTCATTCTCTGTGTTTCAAGAGGCCAACTGCCAGCACTGTCTTCCTGAGGTGGTAAAGGACAGAAGCCTCCCTGGTCTCTCTCTCTCTCTCTCTGCTCTCATTGTTAGAAACATGTATTTTAAAAACAACAAAACAGGGCTGGGGATTTAGCTCAGTGGCATAAGCGCCTTGCAAGCAAGCAGGCGGTCGTGAGTTCGATCCCTGGTACCAGGGATCGAAAATGAAAATGAAAATGAAAACGAAAATGAAAAAGACAAAAAAAAAAAAAAAAAAAAAGCAGAATGAACTGCCCTCACTTCTATACATTCACAGAAATCCACCTCCTTAACCAAATATTTGTATATTACTTACTATTTCAGAGCCCTTATTTGATATACTTGTAACACCAAATCAATTTCTATACAATAGAAATGGCATGGTGGCACATGCCTGTGATCCCAATACTACAAGAGGCTGACATAGAACTGCTGTGAGTTTGAGGCTGGCCTGAACTACATAGTGAGATCCTATCTCAAAAATTAAAACAAAGTCTAAGAAGTACTTTAATCAATTAGATTAGAGTAATTGGAAGTAAAATTCTGTAAAAATAAAATCAGATTGTTTCTTAAGTAATCACTTATCAGTCCAGGAGTATGTTTTTGCTCCTGTAGTTCTAGATACTTCAAGAGGCCAGAGTTTGAGGTCAGCATAGGCAACATAATCAGATCGTCACAAATTTAAAGATTTTTTTTAAAAAGGCCGGGTGTGGTGGTGCGTATCTGTACCCTGCATCACACATATATAGAACAGTAATATATGCTAGGCATTGTTTTAAACACAAGTTAAATAGGGAAAGGATTCTTTACATTATAGTTTACAATCCATTGAAGGAATAAGCCAAGAAAGAGAAAATTAAGACAGTATGACCACTGTGACAAGTGCTGACTAGGGATAAAGCCAAGCAGATAAGCAGGGGATGAAATACAAAAACAAGTTCATTTCTTTACAATGTATCAAAGCGGTAATGAAGAGCCATTAGGTAATAGTTTGGGGTTTTTTTTTTTTTTTCTGTTTTTTACAAAAGCCATGATAATAAACTGAACAACAAAATCAGAAAGGAGGTTTGCAGGATGAAGGTGAGAAGTCGTTAGATTCTATACTAGGATAGCAGCAGTAAAAGAGAATTTGATAGACTTAAATTATCAGTTGACTATGGTAGGTCTGGTGACTAGATGTGGGCTAGATGTGAGCAGCTACAAAGTGAGAGAGAGGTAACTTGTGTCAAGAATAATTTCCAGGATTTATCGTTTGAAACTAAATTGAACAAGAAACTCCAAGGTGTAAAGGAATGACGAAAATAAGATTAACTCCAGTTTACATATATTGATAGTAAGGAGACTATGAAATTTCCAGGCTGTACAAGCAAACAAGTTCTAAAGAAAAACCTACCAAAAAAAAAAAAAAAAAGTTGGGCTTGAAATATACCTCAGTGGTACAACTCCTGCCCTACCACTGGCTCTGAGTTCAATCCCTGTTCCAAAACAAACAAACATGGAGATGGATTCAGGGTTCATATTTAAATTCTCTCCCCACCCTAACCTCTGCACCAAGATCTCAAGAACTCATAAATGGGCTTCTGAAAGGTGATTGGGCATTATAGCTACCTGTAATATTAGGAGGTGGGGGGCCTGGTTGGAAAAGCTTAGGTCTCTGGGATGTAACTTGGAAGGATGTATTTCCCTCCCAGTTCTCTGCTTCTTTGTTAGATGAGCAAAGTTTTCCTTCGCCAACAGGCCCTTCCATCATATCATTTTGTTTTGCAGCTGGCCATTTATGGACTGAAATCTCTAAAAAACATTCACCCAGATTAACCTCTCCTCATTGAATTTGTGGATATCGAGTATTATGTCCGAGTAATGAAAAAGTGACTAAGACAATTTGGTAAATGAAGGCACAGAAATGGATGAGCTGACCAGGAGAGAATGAACAGAGCAAGCTGAGCAAAAGGCCAAGCCTAGAGCCAGGAAGAGCAACATTAATACTTAAAAGAGTCTAAAATTATATAGGTATGATGGCACATGGCTATAATCCTAGCACCCTGAGAGGCTGAGGCAGGAGGATCTTAAGTTTGAGCCCAATTTGGGCAATTTAGTGACTTACTGAGGCACTGAAATTAAAAAGGGCTGGGAATGTAGTTCAATGCAAAAGTCAATCTATACATACAAACACACACACACCAAAATATACAGGTGAGGCTAACAAAAAACAAGAGACAGCATTTCACAGACACCAACAGAATTTCAAAGAGAAGCAATCAGTATCTAAATCTGTCCAACTATCAAGCAAAAGGGTTGAGATGGGTCTACTATATTCAGCTTGAAACTCATTGATAATCTGGATGAGAACGGTTTCAGAAAAATGGTTTAAAATGGCAGAAACCATATTTATACGGACAAGGAAATAATATAGAAATGATACCTTATGGTTATGCAAAAATTTTACAAGTAGCTAAGCAGATGAAAATACTGCAAAAAAAGCTATTTTTCTCAATTAAATCAATGTTAAATACTGATGGTAGAGAAAGAGGAAAAATGAAGAAAGGAATTAAGAATTTTGAGCCAGGGATGGCAATGCATGCCTATAATTTCAGCACTTGAGAGGCTGAGACAGAAGGACCAGAGTTCCAGGCAGGCCTATGTTACCGCATGAGTTCAAGGCCAGCATGAGCTATAGCACGAGACCCTGTCTCAAAAATAAAAACAAAATAAAAAATAATTTTAATAACATTATTGTAACTCATTAACCAAGGCTTCTTACAATCAAAGCGACAACCAGAAATGATATACAAATAATTGTAGCTATATATTTTATATTGGTATAGTAAAAGAATAAAACTATGCCATCTATGAAACTAATGCCACCAAAATTAAATCTGAATCTGATTAAGGCCTCTAACTCCAATTACCAATTTGCAAGAAGTATTAAAAAACACTGTGGGAGCTGACTACATACCTATAATTCCAACACTAAGGGATATGAGGGAGAAGGATCACAAGTTTGAGGACTGCCTGAAAAAGTTAGCAAAACCATTATCTCAAAATTTCAAAAAACAGAAAAATTTTAAACCACATTACAGGGACACAATCAGCAAAACTGTAAAAAGTCCAACAAAATAAATGATTCAGTTTCTTCAAATTCTGAGGAAAGAAAACAGGATGGAATGGGAAGCCTGTGGATTAAGACAAGTGACATATGTATGTACCAACTGCAATTTGTAGATCACAATTATATCTATATCCAAACAAACTGTAAAATAAATCAAATGAACACTTTGGGGAAAGACATCTGAATACTAACTAGATGTCTCATATTAAAGAATGATTATGAAAATGTATTATGTCATTCTCTAGTTGTGTCTATGGACCTGACATTTCTATAATAAGCCTTTAAAAAAAAAAATTCAGAAGAGGCACTCCCTGGCTGAAGGGCCTGAGAGAAAAGGAATAGAAATGGAACCCAGATGAGAAGGCCTTACACACAGATAGGACTACTCTGCAAATTACTAGGTTTTCAGAATATACTTCAAAACATAAAAACATATTTCAATCTGTATAACTATTCATATAACAAATATACTCCTCTTGATGTTTCTATTTCTGCCATTTTATCCAATTATCTTTCCATAGATTCTGAATATAATGCACTAAAGAAAAATCTAATTTTTAAAGTTAATACAAAAAAAAGAAAGTTTTATCTATAATGAATTAAGATCTTAATTTGAGTAACAAAAGCAAGAGCTACTTTCTTGGGCTGATTACATGACAGTAAAAATCAGATCAAAATTTAGAGTACAGATAATCAGCATCCAAAAGAGGCAGAAAATGTTTTTTCCACTTTACATGTCCTAGTAACATGGTCTCCTAATTTTTTAATAATCAAAAATAATAAAGCCAAAATATTTTACAAAGGCAGATTACAATGAAGTAAAAAATTAAAGAGAATTAGAAAATTTTTATGCAATGTACAGTATAAATTCCCATTCTAAGGTGAATGTTAACAGTTC